ATAGATTCTACATTCATTTCACATGTTGTTAACTGATGACAGCTCCCCTTAATACATAGCTGTTTCCTACTTGATTGCTTCTACTGGCCACTCCTATTGTCAAAATGTCAGTTTTCTTTGTACAAGGCATAGAGATTGATCTGAGTTTTATGACGTGGTCAAGTTACATTTACTTTTCCATGCTCAAGTATTGAACCTTTTGATCTTGTCATTGTTCCTTTCAGACGAAAGCAGATTATGACAAGGAGTGCAAGATATGCACACGACCCTTCACAGTGTTCAGATGGAGACCTGGTCGGGATGCAAGATACAAAAAATCTGAGATCTGTCAGACCTGCAGCAAGTTGAAGAATGTTTGTCAAGTTTGTCTTTTGGATCTTGAGTATGGTTTGCCAGTTCAGGTCCGAGACACTGCTCTCAGTATCAATTCTAATGATGCAATTCCCAAGAGTGACGTTAATAGAGAATATTTCGCAGAGGAGCATGACCGCAGGGTATGTGAAGTTTCAACTTGAAGTTTGTTAATACTTATTATAACATGCCTTTGTGCTCCACCTGCATATTCACAGTTACATGCATAAAAAGGTCATCCCCCACCCCCACGCCCACGCCCACCCCACACAAATTTAGAATAATACTCATCTATTACTGAGGGTATGTGCTTGTTACCATGAACAATTTTTACTTGCAACTTTCAGAGTGCAAATGTGGATTAGCTTATACGAAAAGTTACTAAATCTTTGTGCCGAAACTTTCTTTTAGCCCAAAATTGATTGGGCTGTATAATTATTGGGTTTCCCTCCTTCCTCACCTCAGAGGGAGGAGTACATAAGGAATGAGAAGGACATATATATATAATATGTAGAACCTTTATAGATAGTAAACATAAAAAATTAGCTTCAGACAAAACTGTTCTATTATAATCACTTTGCTTTTCTATATTCTCCTGTTGACTTATGCCTTCTTTCTGAACAGGCAAGAGCAGGGATTGATTATGAATCTTCATATGGAAAAGTCCGTGCAAATGACACTATTTTGAAGCTCCAAAGAACAACTCCATACTACAAGAGAAATCGGGCACATGTTTGCAGTTTCTATATACGTGGTCAATGCACAAGAGGCTTGGAGTGCCCTTATAGGCACGAAATGCCAGAGACTGGGGAGTTGTCACAGCAAAACATTAAGGACCGTTACTATGGGTATGTGCAACTGAATCTTTATCCTGTTAATTTGAATGGTTTTTGTTTTCTTAAATCTCATATGATCATTTTGACATTTAATCTCCTGATGTCAAACTTTCAATATCTCCAGGCTGTTTATAGCATATTTCTTATTGCTTGCTCATACTTTAGTTTGATAATTTATGCTGTATAAATAATTTTTGAAATTGAAAAATAATTTTTTTTCGTAAATCTTGTCCAATACAATCTAATGATTCATTAATCTAAAATCTAATTATAAGTGACCAATAATAAGTAGTAGTAACAATTAAGGTTCTATTTCAACATGGAACAAAAGAGCCAACATACAGGATAGTTAGAAAGAGGTTTGATGCTTGGCTTGGTCGGGAGGTGCAGGATAAGAATCTGTCATCCAGTCAAATGCCCTGGTCCCTGGATCACCAGGAGAAGATGGAACCTAGCTCAGCAACAGGCAACATCAGCTGACTAATAGTGATCCTGTATTTTTTCTTGCTCAAATTTTGCCTACTTTAAAACCTGTGGACATCAAAAAAGTTGCTTGATCACACATGTGGTTAGGGACTATGTTGCCTGGACTCTGATAATGCGTAGCTGAACTTGTGTCTGCACCTCAATAAAGACTCGAGGCTGAGCCACATGATCACAATAGCTATCTCTGCATGTAAACGACCATTCACCTTTTTTTCCTGAGAAGATATTTGATAATCAAAGATCACAGACATTTATGATTTAACCTTAATTTGCTTGCCTACTAGCCAAATCCTTGCATCAGTGTTAATGATCTTTTAATTTCCTTGTTTCCTAAGTTCTTCAACGTGATCACAATAACTGTCTCTGCATGTAAACGCCCATTGACATTGTTTCTCTGAGAAGATATTTGATAGTCAAAGATCACAGACATTGCCTAATAGTTTTATCCTTTCATCAGTGTTAGTGATCTTTTAATTTCCTTGTTTCCTAAATATGAAACCTTTGGAAAATCAATCACCTCTAGAGACATGGATGTCTGGCATCCCTTAACGGGTCTAGGTGATTTAGGACAAGTACAGGTGATAAGGTGGGACTAGTGATGTCATCGTAACTGCATGGTTCTGTTTTCTGGATTATAAGTTTATTAGACAATGCTGGAGCAATCATTTTTCTCATACTCCAAGAAGCTACTGTACCACTTATAGTTTGAAATGTCTACCCTCGCTGTGGCTAGATTAGTGACATCTTGTTGCATGTCCTCTTTCCTGAATGTTAATTATCCTAATGATCTTCATTAACTTAAAAAAGCTAAATTACTATCTTGTTCATATTTTTGGCTCAAGAAGTGTTGTCATTGTGTTACCTGCAATGCTTGCAGAGTTAATGATCCTGTGGCGATGAAGCTACTTAATAAGGCAGGTGAAATGCCTTCATTGGAGCCCCCTGATGACGAGAGCATTAGAACCCTCTATGTGGGTGGTGTTGATGCAAGAATCAGTGAGCAGGACCTAAGGGACCAGTTTTACGCACATGGAGAAATCGAGTCCATTAAAATGGTGTTGCAGCGTGGTTGTGCTTTTGTAACCTACACTACAAGAGAAGGTGCAGTGAAGGCGGCTGAGGAACTAGCGAACAAGCTAGTGATAAAGGGCTTGAGACTGAAGCTGCTCTGGGGGAGACCACAAGCTCCTAAACCAGACACCGAACTGTCTGATGAAGCAAGGCAGCAGGCTGCAGTGACTCACAGTGGATTGTTGCCCAGAGCTGTCATATCACAACAACAGAACCAGCTTCCTCCACCCCCAGGCACTCAGGAACAACCCCCACAACCGATGCCATACTTCAACATTCCGCCAATGCTTCAGCAGGAAAGAGCATATTATCCGTCAATGGATCCTCAAAGGATGGGTGCCGTAGTTTCATCTCAGGATGGGGCTTCTAGTTCAGCTGCAGGGTCAGGGCCTGAAAACAAGATTGGTTCCGAGAAACACCCACAAGGACAACACTATGCATATCCACCGGTGCCTCCACCTCAAGGTCAATTTTACCCACCTTACTATCCACCACCACCCTATGGGTATATGCCACCACCACCGCCTCCACATTATCAGCAGTATCCCCCGCCTTATCAAGCTGCCAGACCACCTCCCCCACCTCTTACCGGTGAGCAAGCTGCTTATCAGCAGAAGCCTCAACCAGCAGGAGCTGCAGCACAACAACCTTAATTTTGAGTGTTTTGTCTAAGCTGCTTTGATCAAGAAGAACTTATGTAAACTAGTGTTTCATATTTTCGTTACTGCAAAAAAAATTTGTCACTGCTTGAGCCATTTGAATTAAGTAATTTGATTCTGTTGACAATGCAATTTTTTTTTAATCATATTAGTAATTATTAGGTGCCTCTATTGCAGCCATCAGAAGAGAGGGTCTATCAGAAACCACCTCTCTACCTTTAACGGTAGGGGTATGGTTTGTGTATACACTACCCTCTCCAAATCCTGTTCGTGGGATTATACTGTGTATGTTGTTGTATTAAATGATTATGCTAGAACATGAAATCTTTCAATCTTGGTCCTATTACAATATATATCATAATTTTGATCCCTATTGATTGACAACAAGCAAAAATGGTTAAAAAAGCAAGTCACGAGGCTACTAAAGTGAACCAACATACCATAACCTGCTAAATATCAAAAACACTTCATGGCTCACACACACTCCAAGTTTTACCAACTTCCAAGAAAATACAGAAGCTAATAACAGAAGATAACAAACTACTCGAATTTTCCTGCAAACTGATAAATTATATAAGTATGGTTCACGAGAAGTTTAGCATAGTGTACTTGGTTTTAAATATCGATAGAGCCAAATAAAAAATATTAGGTAGTTTTCTCTCATCTATCCAAGACTCAGTGGACAAAGTTATTCAGTACATAGTCGAAGTGTCTTATGAACCCCATATTAAGTATTCAATGAACTAATTGAGATGCGCGCATCTGAATTCTATTGTTTATAAGAAAAGAAAAAGAAACAATGGTTCACAAGAAGTTTGAATAGATTATTAGATTGAATGATCTTCCTAGCTACCACTTGTTTATGAAGACAATTTTTTTAAATAATAAAAGTAGTTATTTTGAAGATAAGAGCTTTGTTTTCTTTTGAATGTTATATGGTTTATGTAAGTTTTTATCTGTTAGGTCTTCAAAAACATTGCAGACCTCTAAAATCTTATTGGGAACATGTGAGCTAGTGATCAACACATGTGAAGTTTCTTCTACTTTCATTTTCATATTCTGGATTTTCACATGGATTCTTGGCTGTTTTCCCTATGTAAATTGACCACCAATTTCTTTTGCTTTGTTTTCTTGTATATACACTCTAAATATTTTTTACATTATCAAGATAGTTCAACTTTTTATATCATTTTTACTAGGTTACTAATTACTAAGTTTTTATCGTAAAACTCTACTCGTACAATAAATACATAAATGGTGCTGAATTTGATCCAATACAATAAACTCACAAAACTGTTTTTAAAATATATTTGGTATATATAATCCACTGAACTAATTAATCTCGATTCGCTTTATTCAACACAATAATAAACTAACAAAACAATATGATATACGAAACTCATTGATCGATCAAATTAATTAGGATTCCTGAATTCATGCGACAGAAGCTTACTAGGACATTTTATTGTTTCCTATCAAAGAATACTCATATCCAAAATTGAAATTGAAATTTTTGTTAAAAATGAAAAAGTCTTTATCGTCCCACCACAACCCATAGCGGTATATATTATATATAATCATGTTGCTATCAAAGAACATTGAGAAATACCCATAGAATTCTACTCACTTTTTGAGTTTCCAACTGCCTATAAATACCTCATCTATCTAATATTCCCAACCAACATAAACCATCAAACATCATTTCTCTCTTTTGTTCAATATAATATATCAAGAAAAAAACAAAATGGAGAAGAAACTTAGCCTAGTGCTATTACTCCCTCTTCTAATAATGCTTCTTCTTGTTGGAACCCATGTAAGCTATCACCACACACACTCTTCATAATTACAATCGAACTCAAATTTAGAGTCAGTGAATTTTGTACATTATAAAGTAATTTATATATTTCGAAATAATAAGTTTAGTTGAACTAATATAGACCTTTCTTTTAATTGTTTCTTACAACAATTTTTTTAAAATTTTTTTTATGTCAGGCAACAATAATAATAGAGTCTCCAGCACCTCAGCCACAACCTCCTAACACTTTACCAATGGTAAGTCTTGTTTGAATTATCACTTTTTTTGTCCTTTTTTTTTTTTGGTTATGAAATTTGCCAATTCTTACTTATAAAATTGTTTTTATTTTTCTGCAGAATGGTACTACTCCTGGTAGTCTCCATCCTCAAGGTAATTAAAAATGAATTGTATTCTAGTAAGGGTGATCAGTTAAATATCTTTCGTAAAAAAATATAATGTAATTTATAATGTATGTACATCAATTCTTGAACTCCCCTTAAACATCCTTATATTTATTATTATGTATGATTCAAATTATGATCTCTTGGCTACTGAACTCATAGGATAGAGTTACAGTAGTCGAAGGGTGGTCAGTTGAATATTCTTTGCGAAATTTCTGTCTTCGCCGTTGAATTTATTTATGTGAACTTAATTTTTTTATTATTTATTTTTTGCAGATTGTTTACCAAAGTGCACATATAGATGCTCAAATACACAATACAGGAAGCCATGTATGTTCTTTTGCCAAAAATGTTGTGCAAAGTGTCTTTGTGTTCCTGCTGGGACTTATGGGAACAAACAATTTTGCCCTTGTTACAATAATTGGAAGACCAAGAGAGGAGGCCCAAAATGCCCTTAAAATCATATGCACTGACGGTGAAAAGAATTTTTATGTTATGAGTTTACTTAATTAATCTGTTTTAGGATGATGTTTGTATTATTTTTAAGTTACAAGTTCCACTTATTATAGACTATCTCATGTAATTATGTTTTAAGTGATTGAATAGAATAAAATTATTTTCTTTTATCATTATATAAAAGTGTTTTTTTGGCTAGTATTTGTTTTGGCCATACTCTACCTACTTAGGTAGATAATTGCTAAAATATAACTCAATGTTTATGTTGGCAACCAAGTAAAGTTCATTCTTCTAATATCATGGTCCATACCCTATTTCATCTTCAAACTAAGACCACTCGATCAATTTTATCCACCTAATAATTGAGATAAAAATTGCTAATTCGATTTTTTAATAAACTAATTAGTTCTGTAACTTGTTCATAATTCAATAGTTAATAAGTAAAAGTTAAAAGGGAGAATATCGCTTTAATAATTTTGATTCCCAATATAAAACCCCCTATGATCGAAATTATCAATCGATCAACATTAGGCTAAGCTTCTAATAATAAACCAACCTTCTAGAATGAAAATATAGACCACTTTTCATTCACGTGCATTGTTTGGTTAAAGTCCTTTGAGGACCACAACTTTTTATAAGTTGTAATTATACAAAGTCAATTAACTACTAGTAATAATCTCTTTAGGCTGCCCCCCCACCCTTCACCCCCCAAAAAATAATAATAATTTAAATACACAATTTATTTTATCATATTCTCTAAAATTATTTAAAAAAATTATAAAAATTTCTACTTTTTCATATTCTTGGAATCAGGATAGGTGTGTCTTGTATCAACAAAGGTAATGTATGGAAACGCTAAGTGATGTATTGTGATAGGTGTATTGTATCAACAAAAGTAATGTATCGGAATATGATGTATCAGATGTTGAGTAATATATCTGAAATCGAAACGCGATGTATCCGGACGTTGAATGATATATCCAAAATCCTTAAATTTTAAGAGATTTTTGTAATTTGGAACAGAGTAGGTATATGATGTAATTAACTCTTAACACTGTGGGTTTTGTGTAAAATATACAAAATAAAATAAAATCAAATCTACTTCTACTTTATAAAAATGACAAAGGTATTTATATTTGTTGTATTTCATCTTATGTGATGTAGCTTAATTATATATTTGACCAATTTTTTTTTTTGTAAAACTCCTGAGCTATCAAAGGATGTTAATAAACAAAAAAATAAATAAATAGCATCACTGAAAGAATATATTGCTTCCAAACACTGATACTACACTTTATTTATAAACAAATTTTAATTTGTAAGAATTAAACAAAACTTTCTTTTCATGAAGTCAAAAGATCAATAAACTAAACTTTATTTATCAATCTTGAATATTCTAGATACATTCTAGAATATTCATTTCTTATTTCCTTTTATATTTAATTATATATTTTAATTGGATTGAACATTTTGATGCATTCCCTAATGAACAAGAAAGTTGAATTGACTAATTGATTATGAGCATAATTGAATTGACTTAATGGAAGGAAGAAGATTCATAATGATATCTTTATCACCTTTTTATTTATTTATTAATGAAGGGTGATATATATAGTATAAGTTTTACCTCTCTTTTAGCCTTAAACATGTGGATATTGGAAAATATTCATAACTAATATAATACAAACTATTATTAATATGATACATCAATAACATTTGATGAGTTTAGAGAAGCCTTTTACAACACCAAAAGGTCTCCAAATACACATATATTCATCAAAAGAAACAAAGAGATACATGCACGCCTGATTTTTAGAGATTTTTCGACTATAAAAAAACGATATATCAAACCATAATAATATACTCAATCTTAATCTTTATTCTTCTTCTTTTGAGATGACTTTGAGAGCCTTATTGTTGTCGTTGTTGATCCTTAGAAGATTTCACATAGATCACAATAATATGTACTTATCTCAAAATTAATATATGATCAAGATCTTCTTATTGAAATCAGAAGTCTTGATTTTGATCGTAATCTTGATTTTCCTTGTGCTTTGTAATGGGAGCCAAGGCAAAAGAGGAATTGACTTTAAGGATGTTATTATTGTTGTTGGTGCTACTAATGAATTTATTATATGATTTCGAATCATCTAAAATTTCATTATCACTATTCTTTTTGGTTTTGATTAAAAGAGAGTTTTGTTGAGAAGTGTTGATGTTTTTGTTTGTTTTTTTGGAGAGGATAAAGGAGATCTGTTGGGAAGAAATTGTATTGAAGGCCAGCCATGAAAAGTGTTAAAATCACTTGGTTTTTCTTGATGTTTTTGTTTTGTTTTGTTTTAAAGAATTGGATGGGTTGTGCACTTATTTATAGGCACAAAAAAATTTGGGATTTTTGTAATTGGCTATTGGTTGGTGTGAAGGATCCAAATAATAATAAATAGAAGAAAGAAATAAAAGAAAAAGAGAAGAGAAAATCAAACAAATTAATTTTAAGTCACTATTATATTATATATAAAAAATACAAACATTGCTTAATCATGGTTCGCGTCAAAAGTATAAATACACAACCATTATTTAAATATGTTTAGTGTAAATATCTTATGTGAGTAAATTTTGATGAGTGATCGGGAGCAAGGGGTCCTTAGTCTTTGATTTGAGAATTAAGGTTAAAGTGATAATTTAACAAAATATACTATTGATAAAAAATTAAATAAAATATGCTCGACTAAAGCAATTGAACTATTTTATAACAGTTAGTAAGAGGTAAAAGTATTAAATGAGCGAGTTGAATTGATATTGTCACTGAAAGTTAACAAGTATTTCATAGAATAGTCCAAGTGTGTACCTAGATTATTCGAATAATTAGTCCACATACTAATTAATATTAGGGAAAAACAAGTACTCCATAATTTTTAATTGGCTCTAGTTGTGACACTTGTCCAAGTGAAAAACCATTGCTTCTGGATAGTTGGCTAGAAGGCTGGCATGATTTTGACTAGTATCTATTTCTTTACCAAATTAAATTTGTCACCAAACATTTTTATTTAATTGTGTATACTGTATGATATTCTAGCATTTTGTAGTACATGTTATACTTACTAAACTAAATTAACAAGTCACTAGAGGGATGTTAAACGCCTTTTGTCCATGTCACAACTTATTTTACGATATATAATAACAATAATTATTGAGAAATATGACGAATGCAATCTTTCTAGCTATTACAATAATAATATGAATCAATTACGATATTTAGTTAATTTATCGCTAAATATTTCGTAGCTAACATGATACTTGACTAGATACTAATACAACCATCAAATACCTTATTCATGGTACTTTGCTCCAATATTGTTCAGGCTCTCAAAAAAAATGATGTTGCATCTGTAACAAATCTGAATTGCTCATAACTGAAACGCGATTATAGCTTTTTAAAATAGTACTTGCAACGCCCAAACTATTGAATTATAATGGAAATAATAAGTAACTAATGATATTGACAAGAATGAGAAGTTTAGACTCTAGAAGAAGAAGAAAGGGCAACAATTTTTCTTCGATATGCATAAAATCCTGAATCACATACAACTATCCTTTTTTGATGAAACTGTTCTCACACCCACTACTCAATCCAAATTCCAAATTAATCCGACCCTATTGCTCATTCTCAATCCAACAACTCTTGTCAGCCCAACAACTAGTTGTGTAACTTTTGTATCCATATTAGGCTGGAGTTGGTTCATAACAACATCTGTTTCAAATCTTCAAAAAAATGAATAAGTTTAGGAGGATACAACACGCACGCATTCTATGGCATTCTTTTGACACTCACTACTTCAAATCATATACAAAAATGAATGTTAAGGGCTCCTGCATTTGAAGACAGACTAATATTTAAGAAAGACCTACTTTCAAATGTCACAATTGTTTTTTCTCGTTTTTACACAAGACTAGAATAGATGATCCACTTTCAATTACTACCAACTAAACTACTACAATGAACTAACTATAAAACAATGATAATTTACTAGTAATAATGTCCAAGATTGACAAGAGCTATCAATGTAAAGCTAAAGCTTGAACCTAAGCCAACACGAATGTAGAGACTTCAACATCTACTATATGTTCAAACCTCCCTTCGCCTACATACATAAAAGTAGAAGAGAGAGAGTTAGTAACTTGCAAATGCTGAAACTTAGTCATTAATCAATATAAAGTAAAAAGCAATGTATATCTCTGTAGAAATTTATCAAGAGACAATGTGGAAATTTTCTCGTGTTCCATTACTGTACCATCATTCAAGTATATATACAAGTATTATAATAAGAAAATAAATAATGTAATATTCCTATTGGCTATGTACAATTTTCCTAACAAACTTTATTCCTTGTCTATGCCAAGCTTGTGCTTGTCACGTGCTTTGTAAGGAAACTTCCTGAAGTCACTGATGTGGACGGCACAGATCTTTTCTTTGACTAAATCAGTATTAAGGGCCTGATCTGTGCCACGTTGCTGCTGACTATTCCAAGGCTTAAAACACTTTGCATTCTTCAAAGTGCCTTTTGTCTCATTGTCTGAACAACTCTTCTTTCTCTCTGAAAATGTCTTCACCATTGATGAATGTGAGTTCAAGGTCTGTGTATTCTTAACAATCTCATTACCCTTGGCCTAACGATTGGGAATTCCAAAGAATTATATAGATGAAGGCGATCCACCACCTTAACTTGAAAATATTCGTTCTCGCCATTCTTGACTGAAAGGGTAATATAGTACATGAAGTGTTTGATGCTATGTCCATTAACCTTGAGAATCTCATTAACCACATATGAAGTGCCCTAAAAGAATACACAATCAGCTTTCTATAGAAGAAAACTAGAAAGACAATGTGACTAGGGCATTCCATTTTTTCATTGTCCCGTCTAGCAAAACCCTTCATCTTTTCCATATGTTCAAGATGTTCTAAGTAGTCTGGTGGCATGGGAAATATGGAAGTCATTGGAGCCGAACCAGGATAATCTTTGATGTCAAATCCCTATTAGAGACAAACATAAGTCTCTTAATAATCAGCTCAATCTTAATAATCACAGGAAATTTCGAAATCCAATCTTCAGGACTCTCCGAATTCAAATCATATGATGCTAGACATCCATGCCACCAGACTACTTAGAATAACTTTTCCTTCT